CAATGATATTCCTAATTGTGGTGGACTGACTGGATTATGCGTCAGACAGTGAGTGGGAAACGAGAAGACCTGGATTTTGCGGACGATTTATTTTTGATGTCACATAAAATCGAAGACTTACAAGCGAAAACCGACAAACTGGTCGAAAAAGCAGCCGGCAAAGACGGGACTCCAGGTGAACATAGACAAGATGGAGGTTATGAAAATAACGAACCACCAACAACAGCAGCAGCAACATCCAGCGCCAATCACCATCAACGGGAGAGATTTGAAAGAGGTTACTTCATTCACTCACTTATCTAGGGAGCATTGTCTCAACTACAGGAAGTAGGAACGGACGAGGATGTCAAATCGAGCGAGAATCGGGTGGTGGGCGAGAAACACATTCATTGATCAACCTGAAACCAATCTGGAAATCTTCGTCACTCAGCCAGCATCAACAAGAAAATTCGGTCGGATTTTCAATACAAACGTCGAGTCAGTCAGGTCTTATATACGAATCAGAAACTTGGCGGGTGGGTCACAAAGAATATTTTCAACAGCCTGTTGCAGACCTTTATCAACTAACAACTGTCTTCGCTAGCTCTATACTGAAGATCAGATGGCCGGGCCGGAAAGAATTACCAACTATTGAAACTATGGGAACAAACAAAACAAGAACCAATCGCCCAACAACAGCAAATATGTAGGAGAAAGTGGAGATGGATTGGATCACTCACTGAGGAGGCCGCTGGATGACATCGCGCGCGCGTCAGGCCATTGCTCGAGTGGAACCCGACAGAATGGGAAGCGGCGAGTGGGACGTCAGTGCAAGGGTGGCATGAAGGAGATCGTGTGAAGAGGAGTTGAAAGAGTATATATAACTAACATGGATGCAGGTGAAAAGTGCAGCAGAAGACAGAAGCAAGTGGAGAGCTGCAGTTGAAGTCCCTATGTTCCACTAGGAACCCAAGGGAACAATAATAATAATATCTATTAGTAGAATGCGTTGGCATTTTATAAACACTAGTGCGCAGTTTAACTTCTTGTATTCGTTTTATTTTACAATTTAACATAATAGCTAATTCTCCATGCTCATTTTTTGACTCAAATGTGAGTTTTATTCACTATACTAGTGCGTTTTTATATGTGTGTGGAGAAGCTAGAGAGGGATATGCTCTGTTGTTAACACTGAGTGATACTGTAATCCACATATCTCCACCATATTTTTGGGGTAAGATTAAATATTGTGTTAAGTAAGGGCAATATTTTCCCAGCTATCCATAAAGATATCTGCTACAATAGGGGGGATATTTTGGTGATCCATTGCATTGCTACACCTTCTCTTTGTCTATATATTTTGCCTTGAAATCATTCCTATTGCAAGTGTTCGGTGTAGAGTCGATGAATGCACTGCAAGTATTAATTTAATTTTTTTTTTTTAATTTTTGATTACAGCTTGATTCCACACTGTATTTTTTGTACAAGTATGGAATTTTCATCATGTCATATCGGTAGCTCAAATTTCGCAGGCCGACCATAGATATCAGGTGTGCGTCGGCAGTGGATCGAACCTCGGACCATGTGCATGGCCAGCAAGAGTCCTAACCACTGTGCCACCGACACGTAATCACACAATATAGTGGGTGGGAGAGGGTTGAAATTCTAAAATGTAATATAGATAGGTGGAGAGAGAGAGGTTAATTACTGAATCCTGGTTCGAACAAAGCAAGAACTACACTGGTACCACCTTTTATTTCGTTGCATTCTCGTCAGCTGCTTACAGGCCAAAGACATTATTAAATATATCTACAAAAACAATTTCAACACACTTGCACAGAGTTTATTTTAAACAGAAATCATTCAATCACTATATGCATACAGTAATTATATATATATATATATATATATCCAGGGCAAAGAAAGACTGATAACCGCTTCTTTCTGGGCACATAAATCAGGTTTGAGGCGCTTGATGGACATGGCTTCAGCATACTTAAGGTGAATTGAGCTCTTTTGCTTACTGATAATTTTGAACGACTTTTCGACGACCCGTGTCAAGCAGATGCCTGGTGATGGCACTATTTATAGCATTTATTCCCTTTAGACATATGCTTTCTGGTAAATGTTCAGAAAATCGTAAATATGCCCTTCTTTTTCTGTTCTTCCAATGTAACTGCTCCCACAGATACAATTAAGTTTGTATATACAGTTGGAGTTGTTAACATGAGAAGGATATCTATCGATTTTTGATTGCACCAAAGGAGAGCAAGTTGTTCGATAGACGGGAACCAGCTTAGCTAGCTGCAGGATAGGCTATGGCTAATGATGTACTCAGCCTTCTGTTGATCATCGCTGCAATGTTTTCAAGTTTATAATCAAGCTAAAAGGAAGATTGGCTTTTTTCCCCAATGTGATCTGTTTTATATTTGTGACTTTAGATCTTCCATACTTGTTGATGAACCTTTGAGGGTACCCATTGCTCTTCAACGTCCTTTCAAGAAACTCAAATTCCTCTTCTAATTACTTGCTTTGTTCAAATTCATTAAGGGGAATAAATGTATGGAGTCCTGGTTCATCGAGTCTACACCCACCCAACACGCCCAATACAAATGAGTCATCACTCATACCGGAAATATGGAAAATACTACTACCAATCAAATCAAGCGATAGAAAATAATGGAATCATTTAAACGAAGTAAGAAAGTTGGGGTGAGTAGTGACTTCATATGGATTATGAGCAGTAGTAATAAATTATACTCGAAACTTGATCATCATCAATAAGTATTACTGTATAACAATACACTGTGTGAGACTTTTATCAATAGAAAATTTTACCCATAATGGAAGAATTGTGATCGTTTATGCTCTTTCGCCTCACACACACACACACACACCCGCACATTAGGAAAACTATCGTCTTCTTATCTTATCTAATTTTCATTCAGACATCTATAAAACACAAAATAATTGAGCCAGCGAAGGATATCCACCTTTCGATAAATTCCTCTTCTGGCTCGACAATTAGATATCTGAATGTTTATATACATAGAATATTCTAGATTAGTAGTCAATAACAATATTAGTGTGCTTTTTAAATAATAATATAGATTTGTAAAGTAAGATCACAATGGAATTACAGTTGATTAAAGATGCTTAAATTATAATGATAATAATTAAAATAAAGTAGCGAATAGAATATCAACAATTCATGATCATTGAAACCTAGATGGCCAAGGTAAGGATAATGTCTAAACTGACTTCTTTTGAATGCACAAATTAGGCTTGTTAATATGGATCCCAACAACCAGCCTCAGCAGTATGTAGTAGACGAACTCTTAAGACAAAATTGAGATTTGTTGGTATGCGGTAAATGACTTGAAGTCGCCTGGTTAACAACATCAATCTTGTGTTGTGTATCCACAAGATGAGATAGAATAGCGCTATGTGAATAGATTTTGTTTGTCCTTTACTTAACCAACCATCCAGGGTGATGTTCGGAAATGTTTGACGAGAAACACGCCTAATTCTTGTACGGCCTAAGCAGCTAACTGGCTCCAAAGGAGCAGTGCTTGGTCAGCCATGGAGCAAGAGCAATCTGCTCTGATGAATGTATTGATGAGGAACTTAATAATATTACACGGTGGCTGAGTGAAAATGAATCTTAAATCAAAGCAGCTCAAGTTACCAACAGTTCATAAAAAGGCCTTATTCTTACAGACACAGTTCTTTGGGGACAACACCAGCGAGATACTAACACATCGCCTTAGAAATGCAGTAGAAAGAGTATTCCCTGCTGCTGAATCACGCTGTATCTTTAAAACTACTCCTGTATTGCGTTCAGGAGTAAAAGGCAAACTGCCTAATTTCATCTCCTTCATGTGTGTGTGTGTGTGTATCTACCTATTTAACTTCTCCTATGGAGTGACGCAGTTAGTTGCTTAGGCCGTACAATTAGGCATGTTTCTCATCGTATTTCCGAACATCACCATGAGTGGTTGTTTAAGCAAAGGATAAACAAAATCTATTCACATAGCGCTATTCTGTCTCATCTTGTGGATACACAACACAACATTGATGTTGTTAACGAAGCGACTTTCAAAGTCATTTACCGCATACCTACGAATCTCAATTTTGTCTTAAGAGTTCGACTACTTAATATTCCTGGGTCTGGCTGTAGGGATCCATATTAACAAGCCTAATTTGTGCATTCTGTCTGTTTGTCTGGATTCAACATAGAACTTCGCACCGAAGTGCACCAGTTCGAGTTGCCACGTTCCAAACAGACACACACATGTAAACAAGAAGATGAGTGAAGTGAATCAATAGAGCTTGACAAGTATAAGAGTGAAACAGAATGGGTAATATTAGAAAGAAATATGAAAGATTACAGAGACTGAATACATATGCGCCATTGACAACGATTTTGAGTCATGTCACCTATTGTCTCCAGCCATTGATTCCTAGAGTCCCGAGGGCCCCAACCCGGGAGTCTGCATCTACCTACCTGACTTAGTTTAACTGTCTTTGTCTTCATCTTCATCTCTATTACCTTGCCTTCCTCTCACTGATTTGTACATTCAAAAGAAGTTAGTTTAGACATTATCCTTACTTGGCCATCTAGGTTTGAATAATCCTTAATTTTTGTGGATATTTCCTTAATTTTAGTTGATATTCTATTTGCTACTTTATCTTTATTATTATTATTATAATTTAAGCATCTTTAATGAACTGTAATTCCATTGTGATCTCACTTTACAAATCGATATTATTTAGAGAAAACACTAATATTTTTGTTGACTACTAATCTAGAATATTCTGTGTATATAAACACACAGATATCTAATTGTAGAGCCAGAAGAGGAGGAAATTATCGAAAGGTGGATATCTTCGCTGGCTCAATTATTTTGTGTTTTATCCTATTTTATCACAGTTTATTTACACATAAAGGGAACGAATCGCCTTCAAAGAAAAAAAAAGAATCCCCAAATAAACAAACACCCGACAACCAACCCACTTACCGAGTAAATTGTGTTCATTTGAGACACTTGAATTCTGTGGATTACCCAGAGCAGTACTACGACTACTACCTGTGAAATCATTCAACCCGTGTGATACATCTGCTGTCGCAGTAGTAAAAGATGATTTCTCATAAGACATTAGATCAAGAAATTTATCACTATCTGTAATAGTGGATGATCCAGATGAACCATAATGATTTGTCTGTTGTTGTTGTTGCGTTTGCTGTTGGTGTTGCGCCTGCTGTTGATTGCTGTGATCTGATGAATAAGCGTGTTGTCGGGCTGTTGATACAAATGCCTCTAGTCGGGCTCTTTCCTCTTCAATAATTCGTTGACGTTCAGCTGGAGTCAGGGTGAATTCTCCCCCACCATTATCTTGATTATAATATGATGGTATAGTTGATTCAGATTCATTCGGTGTTGACTTTGATGTAGACAGTGTCGATGTGATTGGATTAGTTTGTGATTGTTGTGGAGATGGATTACTTGGCGTTTTTCTATTGAAAGTAGAAGTAGAAGTAAATAAGTAGTATACATAGATTGATTAGTTTGACTAATATGGTGGTATATAAAGTCTTAGGCTCAATAATATTGCGTAGACTAAGTGGTGCTCGAGAGGCACAAACACGAGAGAACCACGCAGACGCTTTTGACCATGAAGAGGGTGTATTGATTGATCATATCTTCACCCTTCGACAAATTCTAGAACATAGGCATACACTCACTGTCGGCGTCCAACAATCATTATATTTCTTGACCTAAAGGCGGCATTCGATTCTGTCGACCGAGAGGTACTCTGGAGATGCTTGGCTGTAAAAGGAATGACGAGAAAATAAATTTCACTGATCAAGGCACTCATTTTACTTGAACTCATGCAGCTAGCCAGGTGAGGGCTTACGGCGAGTTGCTATCTGAAGTGGTGACGATTAGTGGTGTCCGACAGGGATGCCCATTATCCCCATTTCTATTCAATTTCATCATAGATGTACTAACCCTAACTCACTTCAGAGACTCAGGGATTGACTTGTTACCTGGGAATAATAGTCTCGTTCAGTTAGAATATGCAGACGATATAGTCCTTCCAGGCGAGGACGCTGACAAAATGCAGAGTCTTCTAAACACCTTGAGTCGCAATCTACAAATGTTTCGGATGCGATTCGCTCCCACTGTCAAATTTAAGATGATGTTACAGGACTGGGCTACACCGACTCCTAGATTAGAAATAGGAAGTGAAGTGGTAGTGCATGTTGACCGCTTCACCTACTTGGGAAGTACAATATGCCTCAACGGGTTGATCTCTAACGAAATCTCAGCACGGATACAGAGGGCTAGTTTCGGATATGCCAGTTTACGCCGTCTCTGGCGTAGAAGTAATATCCGGCTGGCTATCGACCAAAGGGAGGGTGTACTGCACTACAGCAGTTCGCTAAGTATTCCTTTATGGCTGCGAAACGTGACCATTGAGAGTGGAAGACATGAAGAGATTAGCTGTCGTTGGTCATAGGTGCCTGCGCTCTATTTCCCGTGTCAGGTGGTGGTATAATAAAGTGAGCCATATTGAGGTTAGGCTTCGGTCAAGTGCTAGGTAGGTGGGAAATCAATGGACGAGGCTGTAAAGTCACACCGATGAGATGGTTAGGACATGTGTTACATATGTCTAGTCATCGCCTTCCTCGACTGACGGGCGATGTTAGCTGACATACAGTCAAGTTAGAAAAGAGCCAGTGATGGTCAAAAGAAAACATGGCTTCATCAGTCCATGAAATCCACAAAAGTTAGAATAAACCACGTAGGGAGGTGTAGACTTCCTGTTTAGGGTTCTCGGGACGGTAAATACCAATGAAGGCTGAAAACAATGGGTGATATGGCTCAAACTCATCATTCTCAATGGCTGACGTAGATGCATCCACTCTTTGTGACTTACGATTTCCAATGAAACTATATTGTTCTTCGTTATTACTACTACTTTGTCTCACACCTCTGTTTACTGTCTCTATTATACATTTCTTGTACTTTCTTCTGTTGCTTTGTGTTCTACATTGGGGGAGTGTGGCGACTTGAACTGGTGCACATATGTGCAAAGTTCTATGTCGAAAACAGACAGACAGAATTCTTAACAAGGCAGGAATAAAAGTGGCTGGCATTCAAACCGCCCACAAACTCAATTAGAAACAAGCTTTGTCGGTTAAATGGGAGATCCCATGGAGCCAATTAAACAAAACAATTTAGTTTATCTAATACCCTGCTTGAATGATTGTCACGTCAAATACATAGCTCAAAGTAGTAGAACAGGTGTCAGGCAGTTAGACAAGTTGAGCACAAAAAACATGGCAGCAAAATGTAGATCAGTTAACCTGAATAAGATGAGAAATCTAGAGAACAGTTCAGCTATACCACTCACTGCATGCAGTTACGCACAATCACACAATAGGATGTGATGGGATAAGATGAGGGTTTTAAAATCTGATGTAGCAGGGCGGAGAGAGAGAGATTGATAACAGAAGCTTTGTTTATCGAATCAACTGTGAAAAAGACGTGTAATAGGAACGATTCAACACCTGTCCACCTATCTGGACATCTGGAAAATTCTACTACCCCTACAACGACGTATAGGAGAGAATAAAGAAAACTATATAAGTCAAGTTTTGAAGTCGTGTGATTATAATTGATGATATAATTATGAACAATAATGAATTGTGTTCAAAACTCTGTCATCCAGTAAATAATAATACTCTTTCACTCACTGTGTGATAAATAATATGGAATCACTAACTACCACAGTGCCCAAGTTTTACACATAAATTAAGGTGAAAAGCACAATTATTCAACCACTTCTACTAGCAGCCATGGTAACAACCTTGGCATTATTTTCTGTCAATCTGATTTTTCAAGTATTGGTTTTGTAGGGATTTTGTTTGATTGCATGGAGGAAGCCGTGACCAGTAGAGTACAGCAGGTTGAAGATGAGGCAGTAACTCATCGAAGTAGACATTGCGAAGTGGTCGCGCTATGTCGTGAATCGGCAGAAGTTAGAATTCAAGGACCATTGGATCGGGTCCAGTGGTTCAATGGTCTACGAGCTCGCTGGCCTTGTAACCAGAAGGTCCTGGATTCGAACCATGGTGGGTGCGTACTTCTGAAGAGTCCCAAACTAGGACGAAACAGCTGTCCAGTACTTACAGGTTTTCCAGTGGTTCTCTAACTGATGTCAGCTCATGATTAAATCCTCCATGCAATCTGATTTTTATTTGATTTCCTAACTCTTATGTTTCTTTCAAACTCTTAAATATAATAATCACACTTTTTCCTCTGCGTCGGTGGCACAGTGGTTAGGACTCTCGCCAACCATGCACATGGTCCGGGGTTCGAGCCCACGCCGACGCACACCTTGATATCTATGGTCGGCCTGCGAAATTTGGGCTACCGATATGACATGATGAAAATTCCATACTTGTACCAAAAATACAGTGTGGAATCAAGCTGTAAATCAAAAATAATAAAAAAAATTATTTAACCCATTCATTAAATCATTCATCTTCTTAGGTAAATCTAACAACCTTATTCAACGCCTCTTATGTTTTGAATGATATTAACAACTGTGATTCATGACAACTCATCAACTTTGTTGTTAAATAGGGAAATGAATTCACCGCAAAGAGTCCCCACCCTCTCGGCTTAGACTCGAACTCAGTGTCTATCATTTTAAACTCGGGAACACCTAGCTGAAGAGTCCTGAACGGAATGAAGTGCGATTCTTAAATTCTACTTCCAACCAACATTCATTATTATTAAAACATATACTTATCACATTATGCGCACCAAGAGGTGCGCCCCACAAAATTTCATAGTTTGTGCAACAGCTGGGAGTATTACCGGCGGCCCACCATATTGAAGCAGATGACTGTCTTAAAAGAGGCCATCCCATCCCCCTCAGTTGAGCCTTTAGTTTGAAATCTGACCCACAAGGCAGTGGGACAGAGTCAGGAGCTGTTTTTCCACGGATCCAAGCAACTAAACTAGGTCCATACGCATTTGATTCTTTCAGATTCTGGAAGCCCCCTTATATACCGTAGGTTTGGAGTTAGGGTTTCCCATTGCCCCTAAGTAAATCGATATGTTCAACCGTCCACCACCACATGTTTGCGTTCGTTCTTCCAATTTGTGATAATAAACACCCAGGCTGCGTGAAAGCAGAGAATATGATTTACCTGGCAGAGGTTATGAAGACGTAGCCAGATGAGAGCATTTCGAGAGGAAAACTGAAATCTAACCATCATTATCTACCAAAACAGGAACTATGGTTTCCTTTGTCACATTTATCAACGTCCACACATATAGAGGGGCAGAATCGTAGTATGCTGTATACAGGGTAAAAAACCTACGAAAGCTGTCGAAAGATACGTTTTAAATGCTGGTTTTATTACAGAGAGCAATAAAAAGTTGGAAGGATCAGTCTGGATCAGTTGGAAGGGAAAATCAATACGACTGGGTGATAATCAGAGCCTCAATATTATTACTATTACTATTATTATTAATTTCTTGAGGTGCCAAATACAGAAAGAGTATTAGTGTTACATGACGGCAAAACCGAAGGAACAACTACTTGAAGCCAGTCAATCACATAAAACCTATTTGCATTAGCTTTCAGAGATGTGTCCCACATCAAGATCTTACCACAGGATATGGACCATATCTCAAGGTCAGTTGGGATATACAACTTTCAGGATCAACCTTTCCTAATCGCCTTCCTTCCTAGAGCCATTACATCCATATTGTAAAACAGTACAATTTTGTCCACAGATCTCCAGGGAGTAAGACGAGCTGACTGCCTACTATCTCCAATGATTTTCCTGATGGTGGGTGGTAGACTGGATAATGCAACAAACGGCGGGTAATGAGGAAACAGGCATAAAATGGACTCACACAAAAGTCTTGGAGGATCTGGACTTCGCCGATGATATATATGTCTGATTTCCCACAAACTGGAAGATATGCAAGTGAAAAGCAACAAGTTGGCGATAGAAGAAGCATCAAAGATAGGACTTGCTTCAGGTGAACGTAGAGAAGACAGAATTAGGTGATGAAGATTCTTGGGCAACACCAACAGCAACAACAACAACAGACAACAATCAGCATAAGCGGAAGGAATCTGAAAGAAGCAACCTCCTTCACCTACCTACCTGGGAAGCATCGTTTCAACTAGAAGCGTACGGAACTGATGAGGATATCAAAGCACGGGGATCGCGAAAGCAAGACAAGCTTTCATTACTCTCAAGTTTGTGTAAAGATCAACAGCACTCATCACTCAGCATGAAAAATAAGATCCGGATTTACAACTCCAGTGTGAAGACAGTCATTCCTACTAAACGGATGAGAGACTGGCGCCAGGCCGGGTCATGAAGGCCACTTCGAACAAACTACACACCTTCATCATCAACACCTAGCTGTCTTCACTCAGGATCAGATGGCTAGCCAGAAAAGATCAACAACAGGGAGGGATCTCTGGCAATAAACCAACCAACCCAACACAGCACAGCACAGCACGAACCAACTGTGCAACAAATATGCAGGAAGAAATCGAGGTGGATTAGATTGCGGCCATACTCTGAGAAAACAAACCATCAAGTGAGTAACATCACATGCCAGGCCATTGCTCGAGTGGAACTCGAATGGGAAGCGGAGAGTCAGTTGGTCGGTTAGTGTGAGGGTGACATGAAGGAGGAGGAGGAGGTGATGCAAAGAAGAGATGAAAGCATGTGGGGAGAGGTGGAGCCAGGCGATGAAAAGGTTGTCAGAGAGCCGAACGCAATGGAGACATGTATCTGAAGCCCTATTTCCCTCCAGGAATTAAAGGAAACAATAATAATAATGACAGTGTCTGCTTTTTGTCTAACTACTATCCAAACGACCTTTGTGGCATAGAAGGACCTACAGGAATATTCCTTCTAAACAGTGTAGCTCCTTGGGTCATGACGATATGCAGGGTAGACCACCACACCAGGGTAACAGCTATCAGTCGGTCACTCCTACTTTGATTTCATTACCATCGACTTTATTCAGTAGTTTTAATACACTATATGATGATGATGATGATGGGAAGCTTAGGACAGGGGAGGGGTTGGGTAGGGTACTATCCTGAGGAAGAGAATTTACTAACACACATATAAAAAGAATAGTAAATGCAAAAGAATGAACATACTTACTTGTCACCTTGTTTATGAGCTTCTAAATAGGCTAAATGTTGTTCAAGAGCTTCTAATACAGACGGTGGTACCTGAAATATTGTATGTATGAGTCCATTTTAGAACAAGGAAATCATTATTATATAAGTTGTACTGTATAATAATATATAAAATCACACACGAACACATTCAAAGAATAATACGAACTCGTTTCACCTCCAAATTTGCTTAGTTTTTTATATCTACGGCATAATTTTACCTTCACTTTGAATTTTCCACGTATGGATAAGTGGTCTGCCTCTCTGGTCAATCTTTATTCCTATATCAAAAGTTTGAACTCTGCTCTTGCCTCATCATTAATAAAAAGTTTGTCTTTTTAACACACTGATGAATAATTTGTGTCTATTGACATCATTTTAAAAGAGAATGTTGAAGCGCTTATATACTTTTTATCTGTAATAACTCAAAGATGTCACACTATGATCAGACACTAGTATGATGTGCCTAGTCCTCTGTTTCGTGCAAACTGAATTCTATCAGTCAGTCAGTCAGTGGTCACTATGCCACCACTAGGTGGCTCACCATATCACGGTGCACTTTGAATTGTTGATGTTAGATAAAAGTATCGAATGCAGTCCTACAGGATGTGAATCGCTAGCTCAAATAGCTCAGTGATGGTAACGTCTTTGACTGCAGGCAGGCAGCACCGGGTGACGCGGGTTTGAATATCAGAAGGAGGGATATGAGTTCCTTCAAGGTGGTTGCAGATATACCTTGCTGACTGACTGGTAGTGCCAACTAGTAGCATGAGACCTAGGTGGTGTTCAAGGTTTCCTGTGGCCGATTGCCTCCAAACATCTGGTGTCATACTGTGCAAAAAAGATGTTCAGACAGACCTTTTGTAACTTATAGTATTTTGATAGAGTGTTTAAGTTTGTTTGCAGTTGACATTAAATCCACAAATAGTAAAATATGACCTCATATTATCCTAAAAATTATGCATTCATTCTTTCTTGGTCTGTTCAAATAAATCAAGGAGACCAGTTTTATGATATCAGAGGGCGTGTTTTGATCTTTAACATCGTGTTGGTATGTGATACAAATAAATAACTTCCAAGTGTTTAGTTTGCAGTCCACTTTTATGGGCGTGTGTTGCTAATCAATGTGACCAATAGTCCTTCCACCGATGCATTCCTCAACATCACGTCCCGTAAAAAAATCAATAACACTGCTTTTGAACCTATACAGTTCAAATTTGGAATGCAAAGAAATCAAAAAGAAAGAATGCCAATTTCCTGCGAATTACAAAATCTATTCATATGTCAATGAATAATCATCTTAGATTTTGAAGTAAATTTCAAATATCTAGCTAAGCTACTTAATTATAATTACAGTAGTATATAAAATAAAGGTGAAAATATCACAGTTATGTGAGGCAAGGTAAGACGAAGCAAAATGGATACTGTGGAGAAATCAAAAAATTTACACACAGACGAACCAAAGAACGAACGAACGAAATTGACTAAGAGTCTTAAATTTTCCTTTTTTGGCACAGTTAATCATTTCATGGGCACATTGGTTGCATTAGTGAATTATTAACACAATGTTTCTACTTACAGGTTGAAAAGGATTGTTCTCTGAATCCAAAGGCAGAGGTGTACCGCCAGGTTCAGCAGACTGTATGATAAAGAAAGTAATATACCAGGGAATAGAAGATTAATACAAAGCGACATATACATATATACACTCTACAATAATAGGATTATAAAAAAGCGAAACTAATATGTTCTGCATAAAAGAGACCTTCTATTTTAGTCAGATTTCACGACTATCACAAACGACTTATATCGATATAAAGGATTTTATGGATTTAAGCACCGCATTGTTATTCCTTTAGTTCCCGAGTCGAAAATAAGGCCCCTCCAGGACATCCCTATGTAACTCTAATCTCCACAAATGATTACAAGCCTTTATTTTATCCACATACGATTTTATTCATGTCATCCTAGACCGGTTGTTTAGCATTGAGAGACTACTTCAAGACCTGATTAGTGTGCAGGGTCAATCAACGGTTTTCTCAGGGTGCTTGCATAATCATCCATTTCGACTTGCCGGCCATGTGATCTTCTACTTTGACTACAGATTGATATCAGTTAGAGGATTGTTGAAAACTAGCTGGGAGTATTGGACAGCTGTTTCATCAGTCTACTTTGGGACTCTTCTTCAGCAGCATCCATCGACCTCCAGGGTTCGAACCCATAACATTCTGGTCACAAGGAAGGCTTGTAGAACATTCAGCCAATGAAACCCAATTCAATGGTCAGTCAATGAATGCTAACTTCTACCGATTCGTGATATTTAGCGCGACTGGCACCAACTAATGTCATCCGCTGGGAACACTATTGACACTCCCTACTGGGATGGATCTCACTGAGCCATTGAATCCTGTCCTAGTGGCTGGATGGTATACGAGCTTGCCTTCCTTGTAACTGGAAGCATTTGGGTTCGAACCATAATGGTCGATGGGTACCGCCGATGATTCCCAAACTAGGCTGACGAAACAGCTGGCTGTCCAGTACTCTCAGGTGGTGGTTTTCAATGGTTCTCTCTCTAACTGATATCAATCCGTGATCAAACTCGTAAAAACAAATCTAATCCTTACAAATCAACTCTTGAAATGAAAATGTCATATGCTACAGCACACTGTTTATAATACAAAGTGTCATACATCAAATCAGCATGTCTAACATTGTCGTTGAAAGTAAAAGAGATATAAAAAGCCTCGTTGACTTTGATCACAAACATTTACGTTTCATCTCTCAGCTTAGATGATAAAAATAATGCACAATAATATTGAAGTTATCCTGGTGTTCGTTTACAAGGGTTTGACTGGTTTGATTGGTTACAGGATTTCATCATGAGTTGACATCGTTAAGAGAACCATTGGAAAACCACCAGTGGAGTACTGGACTGTCAGCTGTTTTGTCAGCCTAGTTTGAGGCTCTTCGGCAGTACGCACACACACACACACACACCAGCAGGTTCGAACCCAGGACATTCTGGTTACAAGGCTAGCGAGCTAGTTCGTAGACCATTAAGCCACTCACTGGGAGGCGATCCAATGGCCAGCCAGACCATGAATTCCAACGTCCACCTTAATTCACGATACAGCGCGCGACCACCAGCCAACATCTTCGTTGGCGATTATTTATCCATACATTCAACCTACTGTACCCCACAAGAAACCAGATAACTACCTACCTGCATAAGACTAGTCACTAGTGAGCAATCAGACTGATATTCAAGCGTCGGTTTGCAGGAATTCGATTGGTTACACGAAGTTAGGCATAGAGTGTTAGGTAAATAAAGGTTTGTGAAGTTTTACCGATTGAAATGACAGAGAAACATGTTATGAATAACAAGTTTTTGAGTTTTTCCTCAGGTAATATGGTCTAATATCAACTTAAGGGGTAGATAAGATGAGGTTTCTAACGATTAGCTTGAGCTAGCCACATAGAGGGGAGGGACTTATAGACTGCATGACTGGGTTCTTTGCGATACCAAATTATATATTAAAAACTAAAAACTGTTAGTGGTAGTCTCTGTCGGCCTGTTTTCGACATAGAACTTTGCACATATGTGCACCAGTTCAAGTCGCCACACTCCCCCAATGTAGAACACAAAGCAACAGAAGAGAGTAGAAAAATGCATTTTAGAGAGAGTAAACACAGGTGTGAGACAAAGGAGTAGTAATAACGAAGAACCATATAGTTTCATTGGATATTGTGAGCCACAAGGAGTGGATACATCTGTGACAGTATTGGAGAAGAACAATTTTAAGCCATATCAGCGATCGTCTCTAGCCATTGGATTTTACCGTCCCGAGGACCCTAACCAGGAAGTCTACACCTCCCTACGTGGTTTATTCTAACTTTTGTGGATTTCATGGACTGATGAAGCCATATTTTCTTTCGACCACCACTGGCTCTTTTCTAACCTGACTGTATGTCAGCTAACATCGCCCGTCAGTCGAGGGAGGCGATGACTAGACATACGTAACACATGTCCTAACCATCTCATCGGTGTGACTTTACAGCCTCGTCAATTGATTTCCCACATACCTAGCACTCACTGGACAGATGACTAACCTCAATATTGCTCACTCTATTATACCACCACCTGGCACGGGAAATAGAGCGCAAGGACCTATGACCAAAGACAGCTAATCTCTTCATGTCTTCCACTCTCAGTGGTCACGTTTCGCAGCCATAAAGAAATACGGAGCGGACTGCTGTAGTGCAGTACACCCGCCCTTTGGTCGATAGCCAGCCGGATATCACTTCTACGCCAGAGACGGCATAAACTGGCATATCCGAAACTTGCCCTCTGTATCCGTGCTGAGATTTTCGTTAGAGATCAACCCGTTGAGGCATATTGTACTTCCCAAGTAGGTGAAGCGGTCAACGTGCACTACCACTTCACTCCCTATTTCTAATCTAGGATTCGGTGTAGTCCAGTCCTGTAACATCATCGTACATTTGACAGTGGGAGCGAATCGCATGCCAAACATTCGTAGATTGCAGGTCAAGGTGTTTAGAAGACTCTGCATTTTGTCAGCGTCCTCGCCTAGAAGGACTATATCGTCTGCATATTCTAAGTCAAGGAGATTATTCCCTGATGGTAACAAGTCAATCCCTGAGTCTCTGAAGTGAGTTAGGGTTAAATCCATTAGTACATCTATGATGATGACTATCGACCAAAGGGCGTTGCCATCGAGAGTGGAGTATTTGAAAAGTCTGGCTAGCTGTCTTTGATCATAGGTGCCTGCGTTCTATCTCCCGTGTGAAGTGGTGGTATAATAGAGTGAGCAATATTGAGGTTAGTCATCTGTCCAGTGAGTGCTAGGTATGTGGGAGGGGAAATCAATTGACGAGGCTGTGAAGTTACACCAATTTACATGGTTAGGATATGTGTTATGCCTGCCTGCCTAGCCATCGCCTTCCTTGACAATGGGCAATGCTAGCTGACTGAAATTAGAAAAAAGCGAAAGCTACTGGTGGTCAAAGACAAACATGGTTTCATCAGTCAGTGAAATCCACAACAGTTAGGTTACACGCCGACCAATCACTTAGGGAGGGGGTGTAGACTTTCAGACTGACTGATTGGCGTCTTCGGGACGGTAAACACTTAAAATCATTCTCCGTGATGACTGGTACAGATGCATCCACTCCCTGTGACTTGTAATACTCAATAAAACTACATTGTTCTTCGATATTATTATTCTTTTTGCCTTATATCTCTGTTTTGCATTTCTCTTGCTTTGTGCACTATATCGAGTGTAGCGACTTGAACTACTGCACATGGGTGTAAAGTTCTATGTTGAATCCAGTCAGTCAGTCAGTCAGTTAAGTCAGCAAAGTTTTACATTGAAAAATTTAGTTCACTTCATCAAACTGAATATATGATCAAAGTCTATCTGTCTGTCTGGATTCAACATAGAACTTGCCACCGAAGTGCACCAGTTCGAGTTGCCACCTTCCAAATAGCACACAAACGTAGACAAGAAGATGAGTGAAGAGAATCAATAGAATTTGACAAGTATAAGAGTGAAACAGAATGGGTAATGGTAGAAAAGAATACGAAAGATTACAGAGACTGAATACATCTGCGCTGGCCATTGACAACGATTTTGAGCCATGTCACCTATTGTCTCCAGCCATTGATTCCTAGAGTCCCGAGGGCCCCAACCCGGGAGTCTGCATCTCCCTACCTACCTGACTCAGTTTAACTGTCAAGGATCTCATGGATTGATGCCATGTTTTTGTTTGGCCACCACTTACCCTTTTCCAACCTGCACCTATATCAGCTAGTGATGTTCGTTGGGGGAGGCGGTGGTTAGGCATGCGCAGCACGTGACCTAGCCATCTCAGTCTATGTAACTTTATAGCCTCGTCGATTGATTTTCCCTCTTTGCCTGCCCAACACTCTACGCCTAACGTCAACATTACTTACCTTATTAAACCACCTAACGTGAGAAAGAGATCGCAGACATCTATGATCAAAAACAGTCAACCTTTTCATGTCTTCAACTCGTATTGGCCATGTTTCAGAGCCATAGACAAGGACGGAGCGAACTGCTGAGCAGTACACACGTCCCTTGGTTGATAACGGGATGTCACGCCTACGCCAGAGATGGTGTAAGTCAGCGAAAGCAGCTCGGGCTTTTCGGATCCGTGCTGAGATTTCATCGCCAATCAGTCCGTTGGTGCTAATACAACTTCCCAGATAGGTGAAGTGGTCAACATGTTCTATCACTTCACTCCCTATCACTAAGTTAGGTAGGAGTTGACGTGGTCCAGTCCTGTAGCAGCATCTTACATTTTGTAGGGGCGAATCGCATGCCAAACATACGGAGATTGCTGCTCAAAGTGTTCAGAAGACTCTGCATTTTGTCAGCATCCTCCCCTAACAGGACTATGTCATCTGCATATTCTAAGTCCATAAGACTATGATCAAAGTACACTTTATTAATGTTAAACTCTTTGACCATTATATAGATGAATTCATCAGATCATACTCGGAACACTAAAGCCATTAATCAATTAAAACCACTTACAATACTGTAATGAATCTTTACTCTCTCCTCTCCCTCTGCTTATCTGTTCAAACTGAATTGATGAGCATTAGATGAACATTCTTAAAGTGGATTTTTACTTCTCTCTCAGTGAGTTAATATCATTTAAGTAGATATTCGCAAAAAATTATGATATTTGATAGAAAGGTGTTAAAGGCTCTACCACCGTGTACTTTACTGAACCAACCAACCAACCAATCAACTAATCATTGGTTACAGGATTTCATCATGAGCTGATATTGGTTAGAGAACCATTGGAAAACCAGCTGGAAGGAGTACTGGACAGCTGTTTCCGTTGTCCTTAGTTTGCGACTATATCGTGAATTGGCAGACGTTAGAATTCATGGACTGGCCATTGGATCGGATCTCAGTAGCTTAATAATATACGAGCTCGCCTTGTAATCAGAAGGACCTGGGTTCGAACCATGCGGTTAGGGTTCGTACTGATGAAGAGTCCCAAACTTGAATGGAAGAAACAGCTGGCTGTCCAGTATTATCAGGTGGTTTTCCAATGATTCGCTCATCAATGTCAGCTCATGCTGAAATCTTGTAAACAATCAGACGAAATCCCTACAAAACCAATTCTTGAATACAAATTGGGATGTTTGTATGAGGATTTGCTGTTAATGTACAACTTACTGTTTATTATTAGAACGAATAAGTTTCTTTTATTAGCCGTGAAGTAGTGATTTATGCATTTACTGACATGATAATAGTTATAGTGTCGTGCTATGAAGAAGCCTTCACAAGTCAAGCTAGGCGAACCAGCATCACTCCTTCATAATGCGGTTGTAATAATATATAGTTCAATGCTAAATCATTTGTCAGATATATGGCAGTATAAAAACACTGTATAGCGAATGGCATTGTATTTAAAAGTTTACTAAGTAAATAATACTGTCTTATTGTTCATTACATAAATTTTTTTCAAGAAATGCTAAAATGGATCGATATTAAAAAGACAGACCTTTAAATCGCTGGGTGATATGTCCTTATTTATTCTTTGGCCTTCTAGTGGAACATAGGGCTCCCCTAGCACCTATCCATTTCTTTATTACCATGTTCTCCGAAGTCTTTCACAGCTAGTTGTTCCACCACAGCTCTCATAAGTCTTCATTTCCTTCATATCACCCAAGAGGTAACACCCAACTCTTCGTTTACCAAAACCGCGTCCCACTCGAGGCCATGGCGTTTGACAAAATCAAAATAGGACGCATAGGGACACAGCCACAAGATGTTTGAGGTGAGCAAAGATGCTCAGATTGCAAAAATAAAACGAGAAAATATGGTGCAGATGTGTTAGGAATCTATTTGTGGCAGCTAATTCACTTCTACGAAATTCCCAAACATAATACCAATCTTCAGGTATTGGATTTGTAGGGATTTTTGTTTGATTGCATAGAGGATGTCATCATGAACTGACATCATTTAGCGAACCATTGGAGAACCCCCTGGGAGCCTAATTTGTGACTCTTCATCAGTACGCACCCACCATCGGGGTTCGAACCCAGGACCTTCTGGTTTCAATGCAAACTGGCTCGTAGACAATTGAGCTTTACGGGTCATTGCGTCTACGAACCCGCCTTGTAACCAGAAGGTTCTGGGTCCAAACCATGGCGATGGGTGCGTACTGATGAAGAGTCTCAAACTAGGACGAAACAGCTGCCCAGTACTCCCAGGTTTACCGATGGTTCTCTAACTGATGTCAGCTCATGATAATACCAATCATAAAGTTATTCATCATTGGCTTATCTCAGACATCTAAAGGTTACACACCCATTGAAGACCCTTCAGAGAACACGATAACACTCATTCTGTCATCTAGTGAATAATGACTGGAAGTGGTGGAATACAAGGACGGCAGACTTGGCAGTTGGATGTGTGCATCCAGCCTCCCTCCTCCCAAGTCGATGAGTGATGGCGTTTCCATTCAGGGACTCGAAACCTGAAACTATCGTTTCATACGCCAAAGCGAACACACAGCTGATGAGAACCAAAAAGAACGAAGTGAGCATCTTGGTTTCCCTTGCTGTTAGTCACTGCCTCACACCAAATTAATCGATGTTAACTCCTCAGGAAGAAAATTCTTTTCATCATCCGTCTCTGCCATGCTTCCCTGTATACTTAATATTATGAAGGAGACAGTGACGTTGAAAGCATAAAAGAGGAAAAAATTAACACAACATGAGATGACAATACACATAATCTAATGTATTAATTACCTCAGCAACTTTGACAAATACATTCATTGCTTCCATACGCTTGACGAAACTTTTATATATCTCCAAGGATAAACGACAATCACGTTTAGACATTGTGAAATATCGACCTGTATGTGTGTGTGTGTGTGGACGGCGGGGAAGAAGGAAATCAAAAAAGCAAAAAAAGGAGTATGAATATCTCTCATTACACCAAAATATGATACGAATAAAAAAAACCCTATAACCAGGTGAGGTGCAGTGACAAATTACTCACCAATGACATTAACTGACGGTCACGTTGCCAGTCACGAACCGATAGAGGTTATAATTCATGGAATATTGACTTCCTACGCAATGACTGAAATGCCAACACAGGTTGTCTCGTAAACGGAAGGTCTTGGGTTAGATCTGATGATATCATATTTGAGTGCGGTCATAGGTGCGTAAAGATGAAGCATAGCAAACTAGGACGGATTTTCAATGGGTTATTTTTAAAACTCATATCAATCCTTGATTAAACCCGACTAAATTCGCGTACATTTCAGTAACCAATAAAAACTGTTGCAATTCTATGTGGTTGGGATCCAGGTATTTCGGTTCGACTTTTATGAAACAGCCTATGAAAAAACATTTACCGTGTGAAACAGTTGATGATACTACCCGGTTTCCAAAGGCTGAATTAGTTTGGAGAAGGATTCGAAACCATATTCTGTTTGGTTGAAAATCGTGTCGTTGAATCAATAAGTCACACATCTAACTGTTTGTAATATAATATATATATATATATATATATATATTATATATATATATATATATATATATATATATATATATATTGACGTACGGTAAACAGAAATGATGCGCTCGAGTACATTTTATATTCTTTAACCAATCATTCAGCGTATGATTTCGGCGTACACGAAAAGACATGAAATGGAATGTTCAAACATATATACATATTATTTTGTTGGCCAAGTCAAACTTTAAGCACCACTAACTACCAAAGGAGTGCGACCACACTAATGACCCTGAAACGCTAGCTGAGGAAGTTAGTGAAACCTGGCAAGTAATGTCGTCATCATCAATAAAATATCTTCATTGACGTGTCATGCCATTAAATGGAATATCTGACAAGTTTCAGCCTTGGTTTGAGAAGGATTAAGTTACGCATTAAGCCCAGGGACAAGGTTAGGGTTAGACGGGGGGTCCGTCAAGGGGACCCTCTATCCCCACTTCTCTTCATCGCATGCATGGATGAAGTCATCAAGAGGAGCTCTCCGGGAGTTGGCTTCGACTTCGGCTCAACTAAGGTAGACTCCCTGGCATACGCGGACGACCTGATAGTATTAGCTAACACTCCTAAGGAACTCCAGAGTAAGTTGGATGACTTGGACAAAGCACTTCAGGAAGCAGGTATGCATATCAACGTAGCAAAGTCCAGCGCGCTAACTCTAGTAATCGACGGTCAACGCAAGACCACAGTAACTTTACCATCCACATACACCATAGGCGCAGATAGGATCCACCCTATGAAACCGGGAGAGTGCTTTAGACACCTGGGACTAGATTTCAACCAAGGAGGTATAGTTAAGAAAAACCTAACGGAAACCTTAGAGGCAATGCTTAAAGAGGTGGATGACGCTCCTCTGAAACCACATCAGAGATTACGCATCTTACAGACTTTCCTGATACCACGGCTGCAATACGCCATTCTTGCCCACCCCATGGGCGCAACCACTATGCAGGCCATGGATCGCATGATTCGCATACACGTGAAGCAATGGCTGCACCTACCGAAGGATACCCGAACGCCTACTTTTACACAACCATTCCAGACGGCGGATAAGGCATAGAATGCCTCCATACAGCAGTTCCAGTTAGACGCATAGCGCGCCTAAGAACCCTACAATCTTCCACATGTCCAGCAGTTCAAGCCGCAATGGAGAAGGCGGCGATGCAACCAACTATCAGATTATGGTCAAAGGGGGCTATAATAGGAGGAAGGAGATATGCAAATAAGATAGAAACGGCGAAGGCTTGGAGAGAAGAATGGTTGGGAAAGAAGGATGGTATAGGCATGAAGGACGCCCCGAAGACTCGAGTGTCGCATAGATGGCTTCGGAAGACGGACACAATTTTCCCAAGAATCTTCATTAGGGGGACACAACTAAGGGGGAACCTACTAGGTACCAAGGTAAGGGCATCAAGAGGACGCGCAACGAATGGAAGGGAAATCGACCTGCGTTGCAGGTGCGGTAGTGGTCACAAGGAAAACCTATCACACATCTTACAAAGATGCCGGATAACATATAGGCCAAGGATTGCTCGGCACGACAGGATAGTTCATAGTTTAGCAGAAGCAATCGGAAAGAAAAGCTTCAAGGTACTAAAGGAGCCAAACGTGAAATACTTTGGTACATACTTCAAACCCGACATTGTTGCAATTAAGGACAGAACAGCCTATGTCATCGACGTTAAAGTGACAAACGATAATACTCTACGGCAATCCTGGAGAACCAAAGTATGTAAGTATGACGACATCAACAGGAACAGGAAACTGAGGGACCATATAAAGAAAACCATAGGAATTACAGTAGTTCGATTCCTCCACTACCCTTCCATCATCAGCATGAAAGGACTCCTATACGAGGGCAGTGAACGGGCAATGACTAGACTAGGACTATCGAAAATAACACTCTCCGATCTCTGCCTACTAACCATCGTCGGATCCCTCAAATGCTACGACGGCTTCTATTTGGAAGAGGGACAGAGGTAAGTTTGACAATTTTTGGTTATTTACATACCATGTTTCCTTTCCCTTACAGACAGCCATGCCCCCCAGAAAGGTAGGTTTCTCTCAACATGAATATCCTCATAGAAACGCAATTACTAGGATAGCAAGATCAGGAAAAACGTATCCCACGTAGTATCCTATGATCGGAGTTAATATTCCCTCCAAACGGATCCGTGAGGCGATACGAATTGCTGGTCTCGAAACCCTAGAAATTGGGCTTCTACCTTTCTACCCCTACAGATGGAGTTAGACGAAGAGGGGGGATGGCTACAACGCTAGAACCCTGGCGCTGCGTCGTCAGCAACCGGTATCGAACAGCCCTTTGATGATGCTTAAACCAACCCAGTCTGGCCGAGTGTGTAAAGGATCTTCATGATATGATTGATTCTGAAGCTCGGACAATTGCTTGCTAACCACGCAAGCACTAAAGGGCTGAAATGCTCTGGGTGCCACCGCTCGCGCAAGCGGGCGGTGTGGACTGGGTTGGCAGACAGCGAAGAAGGGTGCGTAGTGAGATCCGGTTGGTTTAAGTGGTGGGCAACCTAGGTCGGGTACTTGATACCGTCCCCACTTAGACGGTTTGGAGTAGAAGACTAGGGACAGTGGGGCCTTCTCCGTTAGTAGGAGTGTCAGGACCTAGCTGGCACACCGTTTTCATGCAAGCGCACTTTTTAGAAACCAATCCAGAACACCGGGTTGGTGACGATGGTCGACCTGCACAGCAGGAAAGATCGTGAAACCGAACTAGCCAAATGCCTCACCATCGTGTTCCGCCCAGTGCTCTGAGTATCAACGTGAAGAAACTCAACAGGGCATGGGTAATGGCGAGATGATTTGCGATGACACTTCCGCTATGTGATGGCTTAGCAAGGGAGGCGTGCTTCCTTTGTCAAGTCTCCAACTAAAATGGATTTTATCCAGGGCGTATGTTGGTAGCCCCAGCATGCGTCTTACACGGTTCCAAGAATCGGTGGGAGTGAAATCGCCCGTCGCCGATTTGAGGGGCTTAGCACGTGTGGCCCTACATGCGGTGCAAGGACCGTAATCCTTTGACCATCGTGTGTTTTCCAATATTGGCTTCTCTTGTTAAGTCTACATTTGGTTCCCTTAGTTCGGCCCATTGTTTTGAGTGTCAACGTGAAGAAACTCAACCGGGCATGGGTAATGGCGGGACAGAGACGTAATTGCACGCGGCAGGCGCCTCCTAGTGGTGACCGCTGGGTGGGGCTTATCGGCAGGCAAACCGAGCTCCAGCAAAGACCTGTCGCAGTATGCGACAACGTCTGGTTACTCAGTCTTGATGAAGCAGTGGTACCGTCCTTAGGCTTTATGTGGTGCACGAGACATCGGCGGTGCCGAGATCTGTTGGATTCTTGATGAGAGGACCGGGGCCAATAACAACTGGTTCACGGGTGGCTACGGAGGACCGGTAATCCCATTCGCGAGGCGCGGCAGGGCAGCTGTTGCCGAGGCCAGTCCGACGTGGTGTCTTGTGCAGTGGGCTGTGGCTTGGAGGACGGGATCTCGGTCCATGACTCAGGATGGGCTGACTCCAGTGCGTAAATGTCCATGATATAGATGTTCTGGTATGACGCAGGGGATACCTTTGGCTGTCTCAGGATAGTCAACCCTCCTTATGCTATGGTGTGGTCTTTGGCTTCGGCCTGCAATAGAGGAGTTATACACAGGTAAAATTAAATAGACAATTTAATAAACAAATAAATAAATTAGGTGACACCTCAAAAGTTATGTAATTCGAAGGGTGGGTGAAGTGGACAGATGTTCAGAGTTTAAACATTAAATATCATAAAAGTACGAAGGAATTGGAAAATAAGAAAGGGTGGTGGAGGGTTTTAATTAGAATCTACCTAGGCTAAGCAAAGGAGAGACAGGTGGTAGAACAAACTTCTTTTGGTGCATGCAAAGACACTAGGATTGTTGTCTCAAATTAATTCCCACAGCTTCGACTGTGTGTAAATGGCGAATTCGAATTCCATACGATAGGTTCGATGGACTGGGATAAATAACCTTGAAGTCAGACACACTCACTATTTCTGTCCACTTGGTGGCCGTTATCACCAATCAAATGAGTCAAAATAGAACTTCTTATAGATTTTATTTGGCCTTTTCTTCTGAACCATGAAGGAAGATGTTCATTAATGCGTTTGTTAAGCCCTATATAACCAGCTTTCTCCACAGAAGTCGCACAGCTAGGTAGCTTGTCTTTCGCTTAAGCAATCATGATTGGTCGGCAGTTGGAAAATGACAAACGAAGACTGGCTGTAGCACAGGTCTATTTTAATGCTCTCAATAATCTTAGATGTGAGACTTCAACTAGCCACGTCCTCATTAAATTGCAATTTAGAGATAGAGTTGTTTCTTTTAAACTATTGTCAGTTCCTCCACATTATACCTGGTGTTCATGTGCCTGTCTCCTTATAAATCTACTAGGATAACCCATTTGGACCAGCGTATTTTGGATGTATCCTAATTCACTTTCTAGGGGGTCATCTACACAGACAGATCCCTCTTCCTCTGTTCGTGAGGTATCTGACCAAATTGATTGTGAATTGGATTAGTAAAACACTGAAGTAATGTGTATATTGTCTTACAGATATAGGTTTATATATATATATATATATATATATATATATATATATATATATATATGATTTAATCACGCTCCTGTCGACGCCAAGTAAAATCCGAGTCGCATCATCCTGGAGAGAATATAGGACGCACTGGATACAGAACTCCGACCAGAACAAGCTGGATTTAGGAAAGGCAAATCATGTTCTGACCAAATTGCAACCCTTCGCATCATCATCGAACAAAGCATGGAATGGCAATCAAACATCTACCTCAACTTTATAGACTTCGAGAAGGCCTTCAACAGACAGCGTTGACCGTGAAGTAAATTGGAAATTACTCGAGTACTACGGCCTACCCCAAATATTCATAAACCTTATTCAACAGCTGTACGACGACGGCACATGTCGAGTGATCCACAACGGAAAACTCAGTGAGGCGTTTGGAGTAAACATAGGAGTCAGACAAGGGTGCTTATTATCACCAATGATACTCCCAATTGTGGTGGACTAGATTGTGTCAGACAGTGGGAGACCGGAAGACAGGGATATCCTGGACCGACCAACGTGAGGAACCTAGAAGACCTGGATTTCGCTTGTGGATGATTTATGTTTGATGTCACTGTCACAAAATCGAAGACTTACAAGCGAAAACCGACAAACTGGTCGGTCGAAGAAGCAGCCGGCGAAGCCAAGACTCCATGTGAACATAGACAAGACGGAGGTTATGAAAATAACCAACCAACCAACAACAGCAACATCCTGCGCCAATCACAATCAACGGGAGGGATTTGAAAGAGGTTAGTTCATTAACTTATCTAGGGAGCATTATCTCAACTAGAGACAGTCGGAACGGACGAGGATGTCAAATCGAGCGAGAATCGGGAAGGCGAGGAACATATTCACTCATCAACCTGAAACCAATCTAATCTGGAAATCTTCGTCACTCAGCACCAACAACAAAATTCACTCGGATTTTCAATACAAACGTCAAGTCAGTCAGTTTAATTTAATCCTCTCTATACGCAGCTGTCTCTTTGCATTTCATCTGGTAGAACTAGAAGCAGCTATAGGAGGCCGTATGCTAGGACTACCAAGTACAAAATCTCCACAATACCATATCTGGAACAGCTGTTATGTGGTGATGAGAAATCCGTTAGGTATGACACGATCAACTTACTGCGGCACTCTAACAAATAGTCCCATTAGTTTTTGTTTTCCTTTCCTCGTTACTATTACACTGTTGTCTACATCTTCTATTACACACTAGTTTTATATTTCATATCCTGTGGTGCATTGTTTGAAATGTAAACTCTGCGCTGTTTGTTTTTTTATTTTTATTTATCTTTTATTTTTTTTGGCGTTGGTTTTTACTTATTTATTTTTTGATTTAAAAAATCCTATATAATTTATGAGGTAATTAGATGCAATATATTGTTATGCACGCTGAAAATTCCATACCTGTACCACAAATACCGTTTGGAATAAAGCTGTTAATATTAAAATTAAAAAAATTATTATTATTCTATACGGATCAGAAACTTGGTGGGTGGGTCACAAAGAATATTTCCAACAGCCTGTTGGAGACCTTCATCAACAACTGTCTTCGCTGGATCTATACTAAAGATCAGATGGCCGGGCCGGAAGGAATCACCAACAAGAAACTTTGGCTGGAACAAACAAAACAAGAACCAATTGCCAACCAACAAATATGCAGGAGAAAGTGGAGATGGATTGGACACTCTCTGAGGAGGCCGGGTCGCTGGGTGACATCGCGCGCGCGTCAGGCCATTTCTCGAGTGGAACAAGGCCGAAAGGGAAGCGGCGAGTGAGACATCCAGGGATGACATGGAGGAGATCGTGTGAAGAGAGAGGAGTTAAAACAGTATGGACTAACTAACTAACATGGATTTACAGCAGAAGACAGAAGCGGCAAGTGGAGACGTGCAGTTGAAGCCCCCAATGTTCCACTAGGAACACTAGGGAACAATAATAATAATATATACATATAAATATAATAAACAAAAGAGGATATATATGTAGGTATGCAGCTTACCTATGAGATTAATCATACCCTCATTATACACAGCATACAATCGGATAAGATCACGATAAAGGAAGAGATGTGCAACACGCAGAAGTGAATTCGATAGCTCACTTGTTGTTGCCTAAAGAAAAGATAAAGCACAGAGTATGCATGTGTGTAGGTACGATAGATTAAGGAATAGACAAACGACACAAATGACAACAACGAAGTGTACATGACATATTTTTTTCGACTCCTCGCTTTGAGAGTTTCGAAGTTTCAGTAACAGTGGAGTGTTGTGACTACTAGCCGAGAAGTAATTTGGAAATTGCTTCAACACACTACGGTAGACCTCTGAAGGCTTTGTCAACCTCATTCAACAGTTGACTATAATGACAATACCACATGTCAAGTGTTCCCCCAAACAGAAAACTCAGTGAGGCGTTCGAAGTGGATACAGGAGTAAGACAAGGCTGGCTGGCTGTCTGTCTGTCTATTATCACCGATGATATTCCTAATTGTGGTGGACTGGATTATGCGTCAGACGAGGAGTTAGGAATACGCTGGACGATCGGTAAGACTCTAGAAGATCTGGATTTTGCAGATGATATATTTTTCTAATGTCACACAAACTTGAACACTTGCAAGCGAAAACAGGACTCCAGATGAACATAGAGAAGACGGGCAGAGGTGATGAAGATAACCAACGAACCGCAACAATAACAACAACAACAACAACAACAACAACCAGCACCAATCACCCACCACCATCAACGGGATAAATTTAGAGGAAGTCACTTCCTTCATTTATCTGGCTAGGCAGCATCGTGTCAACTTTTAGGCAAGAGCACAGATGAAGATTGTTAAAACCAGCCAGTCAAAAATCGGAAAGACAAGAGATACGCCTTTATCAACCTGAAACCAGTTTGGAAATATTCTGCATTGCATTAAGAACAAGATTCGGATTTTTAACACCAATGTCAAGTTGGTCCTTCTATAAAGGTTAGAAACTTGGCGAGTGTATCGCGAAAAGTATTTCCAACAGGTTGGAGACTTTCATCAACAGCTGCCACCTTTGCTGGCTTCATACTGAAGATCAAATGGCCAGAAAGAATTAGGAACACGAAACTGGCGTGGAACAAACCAAAAGGTGAGAGTCGATCGATCAACAAATATGTAGGAGAAACGTGGAGATGGATGGATTGGGCATACGTTGAGGAGGCCGCTGAATGACATCGCACGCTAAGCGATTGCTCGAGTAGAATCCAAGCAGGAAGCGACGAGTGGGTTAGTCGATGCGAGTTTGACATGGAGGAGATCGTGTGAATTGCAAGAGATGAGAGAGTTTGGTCAATTGTGGACGACCCAGTTGAAGAGGACAGCAGAAAATAGAACAAAGTGGAGATGTGTTGCTGAACGCCGCCTCACACTTCAACCTTCACTATCTCTCCTGTAGACTTACTATAAGAGCTAGGAGATTAGCTGTGGGGAGGGGGGGGGTTAAACAGTAAGTCGGTTGGGAATGGAACCCGGACCATGTGTGTATGGTTAAAGCGAGCACATTTTACTACTAACCGCACTATACGTATACGCCCACGCACACACACACCAAAGAGTACTTACATCGAACAATAGTAGGGCATCTATTTGTTTCTCGATAACTGGTAGAGTTTTCAACAACTATTAGAAAAAATAAAAAACAAAATTAGAAAAACATATAGAAAACAATTAAGAGTTATCATACGTATTATTTCTTCTCAGTCTTTCAACAGCCTCTCGATGGTCTTTTGTCTGTCTGTCTGTCTGGATTCAACATAGAACTTGGCACCGAAGTGCAGCAGTTCGAGTTGCCACGTTCCAAATAGCACACAGAGGTAGACAAGAAGATGAGTGAAGAGAATCAATAGAATTTGACAAGTATAAGAGTGAAACAGAATGGGTAATGGTAGAAAGGAATATGAAAGATTACAGAGACTGAATACATCTGCACTGTCATTGACAACGATTTTGAGCCATGTCACCTATTGTCTCCAGCCATTGATTCCTAGAGTCCGAGGGCCCCAACCCGGAAGTCTGCATCTCCCTACCTACCTGACTCAGTTTAACTGTCAAGGATTTCGTGGATTGATGAAGCCATGTTTTTGTTTGGCCACCACTTACTCTTTTCCAACCTGCACCTATCTATGTCAGCTAGCAATGCCCGTCGGGGAAGGCGATGGTTAGGCATGCACACGCAGCACGTCACCTAGCCATCTCAGTCTATGTAACTTTATAGCCTCGTCGATTGATTTTCCCTGTTTGCCTGCCCGACACTCTACGCCTAACGTCAACATTACTTACCTTATTAAACCACCTAACGTGAGACAGAGATCGCAGACATCTATGATCGAAAACAACAGTCAACCTTTTCATGTCTTCAACGCGTATTGGCCATGTTTCAGAGCCATAGAGAAGGACGGAGCGAACTGATGAGCAGTACACACGTCCCTTGGTTGATAACCGGATGTCACGTCTTTTGTGAGTATACTATGCGGCTTATTTTTATTCTTCTGCCTATACTGATAGAAACAGTCTACCAGGGTTGATTTGAATCTTTCGAGGTCCTCATCACAGGAAGCGATCAAGTCCCTTGTTTGTATATAGAGGTTCTCGAACTGTACATCACTGTCAATCTGACTAATTTCTGTACGAAAATCACAAAACTTCGGTCCTAGAGATAATGCTTCAAGTTGTAGTTTATCAAGAGTCATGCTAGAAAATTTATGGAGGTACCTTTCTGGATTAGCAGGAAATCTACTTTCGAAGGTTCGAATTTCTAAACTATTTAACAGTTGATACAAGTATAAAACTTGAGCATTGTGGTAGAGAATAACTGCATTATGGATAAAATTTTATTTTGATAAATCACAGTGTTGTTACACAGTAAGTAATATTTACTGATGACCACGTTTCGAGTTCAACTTATTACAACTGCTCATAATCAATCACATCAAGGCACTACTCACACAACTCACTTTCTTGCTTCATTTATCATACATGAGTGAAAATGGATGATTAGACATTTGAATAAAATCAATACAAGATGGTTAGGTACATTCGGAAATAATAATACGAATGTTATTGATCAAGTACAATTAGATGGGAAATAAGACGAGTGTTTTTATAGTAAAATAAATAAGTAACTTGTTATAATGTTATGATATACGTGAATTGAAATAGAATTTTAATATTATTTATTACCCTCTTCTGATTTGACCTGCGGTAATAATATCTTCCATATTTCTGGTATTTGTATTGAGTCATTTCTGTTGCATGTGTTGGGTGTAGACTCACTCAATGAACCAGGATTCCGTAATCAACCTCTCTCTCCACCTGCACAGATTACTTCTTAGAATCTTAACTCTCTCCCACCAACCATATTGTGTAGTTGTGTGTTAATGTGTGAAGTGGAATTACTATGCTTTTTTTTCTAAATCACTTATCTTCTCGGGGTCAACCATTCTTACCTTAGCTAAATTCTTATGATCCGACAATCTGATAACCCTCGGTGTACTAGTTTGACCTATGTAGTTGACTTAACTCACAGTGATTGCAAGGTATTTTGTAAATTATATTATTTTGTTTAATTGGGTTAACCTACACAAATTTCCAACTTCCTTTATATTTGTTCCATTATTCAAGTATTGGTTTTGTAGGGATTTAGTTTCATTGGTTGGAGGATTTCACTATGAGCTGATATCAGTTAGAGAACCATTGGAAAACCACCTAGGAGTATCGGACAGATGTTCGTTCCCCTAGTTTGGGACTCTTCATCAGTACGCACCCATACCACCATAGTTCGAACCCATGATTTTGTGGTCACAAGGCGAGCTAGCTCTTTGATCATTGAGCCAGCGGGACCCTATTCAATGGCCAGCCCACGAATTTTAACTTCGGCCAATTCATGATATGGCACGGCCACTTCCCAATGTCTACTCGGATGATCTGATGCTCACTAGTGACTGGCACTCTCTATTCAGACAGTTACCCTGGGGTTCTAGTGGGAAGCCGTGACCACAGTTGGGACAGCAGGTTGAAGGTGAGGCAGTAACTCATCGAAGAAGACATTGCGAAGTGGCCGCGTCATATCATGAATTGGCAGAAATTAGAATTCATGGGCTGGCTGGCTGGCCATTGGATCGAGTCCCAGTGAGTGCCATAATGGTCTACGAGCTAGCTCACCTTGTAGTCAGAAAGTCCTGGGTTCGAATCCTGGCGATGGATGCGCACAGATGAAGAGCCCCAAGGCTAGGAGGACGAGGCAGTTATCCGGTACTCCCAGGTGATTTTCCTATGATTCTCTTACTGACGCCAGCTCATGATGAAAACCTCCAACCAATAAATAAAGATATTTTGAATGGATATCTATAAGTCACTTGCATCACCCTCAAGGGAATGTGAGCAAACTAATTCAATTATACGATCTCGTGTAGGGTGAATGAAACGCTTCATCATAAACTTCTGTTATTCACCCCCTAACAACTGCGCCACTCAGTGTTATGAAATTATTAAATTCAAGAAAAACTGTTAGGTAATACAACGTTTATGATGGCGTCATCTTCCAACACAGTGGAGTGTTATACAGTAATATTTACTGACAACCACGTTACTAGCATAATTTGTTGCTCATAATCATATCAAGGTCCTCCCACAAATTTTTTGCTTCATTTGTTTACATGAGTTGAACTCCAAGGTGAAGTCAGTGCTACTTACTATACGGATCAGAGACTTGGAGTGTCATAAAGAGCACTTCAAACAAACTACAGATCTTCATCATCAACAGACCTTCACTCAGTACTACTCAATATCAGATGGCCGGCCAGAAAAGATCAGCAAAAGAGATCTCTGGGAGCGAACCAACCCAGCAGGAACCAATTTTGCAACAAACAGGCAGGAAGAAATCGAGGTGGATTGGCCATAATCTGAGAAAACCTCCAAGTGACATCACGCGCCAATCCATTGCTCCAGTGGAACCCGAACGGGAAGCAGCGAGTTGGTCGTCAGTGGGAGGGTGATATGTAGGAGGAGGTCATGTGAAGAGGAGGTAAAAGCATGTGGCGAGACATGGAGCCAGGTGAAAACTTTAGCAGAGAAGTGAAAGCAATGGAGACGTGCGGCTGAAGCCCTATGTTCCTCTAGGAACTGAAGGAAATAATAATAATGTACATGAGTAATTAGGTCAACTGGATCCTTTAATCTACAGGACTTGTCAGTGAATGAGTTTGGAGGTTTAAATGCCACCCAATTAGACAAAATAATATAATTTACAAAATACCTTGCAATCGCTGTGAGTTACATCAACTATATAGGTCAAACTAGTAGGTTGGGGGTAGTTAGATTGTCAGAACATAAGAATTTAGCTAAGGTTAGAATGGTTGACCCCGAGAAGATGAGTAATCTAGGAAAAAGCTCAGCAATGGCACTGCACGCACTAACACACAACCACACAATAGGGTGGGAGAGTGTTAAAATTCTAAAAAGTAATCTAGGTAGGTGGAGAGAGAGGTTGATTACTGAATCCTGGTTCATCTAAACCCAACAGGTGCCATAGGAATGACTGATCACTGATACCGGAAATATGGAAAATACTACTACCAATCAAGTCAAGCGATGAAAAACAATGATGGAATTATATACAAACCAATACTTGAATATCAATGAGATGCTCACTGGCGATTGACCCTATTCAGGTAGGTAGTTACCTGGGGTTTTAGTGGGAATTCGTGACCAGTAGGGTGCAGCAGATCGGGTGTGAGGACAAATGCTCTCCAGAGATAACATTGGCTAGCGGTTGCGCTATATCGTGAATTGGCAGAAGTTGGAATTCATGCACTGGTTATTGGGTCGGGGGTCCCAGTGGCTCAATAGTCTGAGAGCTAGCCTTGTAACCAGGAGGTTCTGGGTTCGAACCTCGTTGGGTGCGTAGGGACTAAGAATCCCAAACTAAAACAGGAGAAACAGCTGTCCAGTACTCCCAGCTGGTTTTCCAATAGTTCTCTAACTAGTCTCAGCTCATGATGAAATCCTGGAACCAACCAAATCCCAACAAACCAATACTTGAATGTATACACGAAGTTAGAAAGTTGTGTGAGTATTGTCTTGATATGATTATGAGCAGTAATAAATGGTGCTTGAAACTCGGTCATCAGTAAAAACAAATACTGTACAACAAACTTTGTGAGATTTCATCATAATTAAATTTTATCCATAATGGAGTTATACTCTGCCATCACAGTGCAAAAGTTCTATTCTCATATGGCATCAATTAGTAGTTATAAAAAAAACAAAAAAAAACAGACACTCTAATGCACCAGAAAAGTCACAAACAGACACACGCACGCAAGCACGCATAAAAAAACAGGTATTATCTGAAATTTATCATCATTTCGTAATTACGTCGATATTTTTTTTTTTTAATTTTTGCTTGACAGTGAATGCCAATTTCATATCAAGTCTAAAATATTGGGTTACTACTATTATATATGTAGAGGATAATTATAAAATGGGGAATATGATAAATGCATCGACGATGATAAGCGCGCATAGCTCTTCTTCATCTACGCTTAGCTCACAAAAATGACATGCAGTGTTTCAAGTCGGGTTTATCTCTTCTCACTCTGCTGATTGTATTTCAAGCAGCCTTATTGAATAGACATATAAGTATAAAACTTGGGCACTGTGGTAGAGTATAATTCCATTATAGATAAGATTTTATTTTGATAAATCGCACAGTGTTTACAGTTATATGAACTGATGACGTTTCGAGCACAAACTATTGCTCATAATCATATCAAGTTACTCACACAACTTTGATCTCTCATTTATATACATGTGTGGAATGGATTAGATATTGGATTAAAAATCAATGTGAGATAATGTACATTCAGAAATAATCGTACGAGTGTTGTTGATCAATTGCAATTAGATGGGAAAATTGGACGAGTGTTTTTACAGTCATAATAAGCTGCTTGTTAGAATGTGTTTGAATTGAAATAGAATTTTAAGATTATTTATTATCTTCTTCTGGTTTGACTGATGGCATTAATACGAGTGTTATTGATCTACTATAATCAGATGGAAGATACGACGAGTGTTTTAATAGTCATAATAAGTTTTTTGTTAGGATGTTGTGATGTGTTTGAATTGAAATAGAATTTTAATATTATTTATTACCCTCTTCTGATTTGACCTGCGGTAATAATATCTTCCATATCTCTGGTATTTGCATTGAGTCATTTTTGTTGCATGTGTTGGGTGTGGACTCGATGAAGCAGGATTCAGTAATCAACCTCTCTCTCCACTTAGCTATATTACTTTTTAGAATTTTAACCCTATCCCACCCTATTGTGTGGTTGTTTGTTATTGCATGAAGTGCAATAGCTGAGCTTTTTTCTAAATTACTTATCTTTTTAGGGTCAACCATTCTTACCTTAGCTAAATTCTTATGTTCTGTTAATCTGACTATCCCTGACCTACTAGTTTGACCTATGTAGTTGACCTCACAGTTATTGCGGATCCTGAACTGAATCATAGGACAAAGCTGCCCATTGAACAAATTATGTTAGGGATTCAGTTATGTCTCACATCTACCATCTTTAAGTTCCAAGGCAAAATATATAAACAAACAGAAGGTGTAGCAATGGGATCACCAATATCCCCTATTGTAGCAGACATATTTATGGACAACTGGGAAAGTAGTGCTCTTAATACGTTTAACCCCACTCCAAAAATATGGTGGAGATATGTGGATGACACTTTCACGGTGTTAAAAACAGAACATATCTCTAGCTTCCTGACACATATAAACTCACAAGTAGAAGGAATTAAATTCACATTTGAATCAGAAAATGAACTAGGAGAATTAGCTATGTTAGATTGTAAAATAAAACGAATAGAAGAAGGCAAACTACACACTAGTGTTTATAGAAAACCAACGCATTCTAATAGATATTTAGACTTTAATTCGTCTCATCCGTTAACTGTTAAGGCAGGCTTAGTAAAGTGTCTAACAAATCGAGCCATAGCACTAAGTAGCACAAAAAAAGACCTAAATGATGAAATAAAACAGATAGAAGAAGCGTTGGTGTTGAATAACTATCCTATAAAATTCATTAGGAAGATCACCAAAAACCAAAAGCAAAATAAAAATAATGGTGAAACTATTAATGATAACACAAATAAGAAAGAATATAAGTCATCCACTGTTATACCATATAAGGAAAGCACATCTGAGGCCCTACGTAGGATTCTTAATAAAGCAGGAATTAGGGTGGCATTCAAACCTACAAACTCACTCAGAGACAAGCTCTGTAGGCTAAAAGACCCGGTGGATCCAATTAAACAAAATAATATAATTTACAAAATACCCTGCAATAACTGTGAGGTCAACTACATAGGTCAAACTAGTAGGTCAGGGATAGTCAGATTAACAGAACATAAGAATTTAGCTAAGGTAAGAATGGTTGACCCTAAAAAGATAAGTAATTTAGAAAAAAGCTCAGCTATTGCACTTCATGCAATAACAAACAACCACACAATAGGGTGGGATAGGGTTAAAATTCTAAAAAGTAATATAGCTAAGTGGAGAGAGAGGTTGATTACGGAATCCTTATTTATCGAGTCCACACCCAACACATGCAACAAAAATGACTCAATGCAAATACCAGAGATATGGAAGATATTATTACCGCAGGTCAAATCAGAAGAGGGTAATAAATAATATTAAAATTCTATTTCAATTCAAACACATCACAACATCCTAACAAAAAACTTATTATGACTATTAAAACACTCGTCGTATCTTCCATCTGATTATAGTAGATCAATAACACTCGTATTAATGCCATCAGTCAAACCAGAAGAAGATAATAAATAATCTTAAAATTCTATTTCAATTCAAACACATTCTAACAAGCAGCTTATTATGACTGTAAAAACACTCGTCCAATTTTCCCATCTAATTGCAATTGATCAACAACACTCGTACGATTATTTCTGAATGTACATTATCTCACATTGATTTTTAATCCAATATCTAATCCATTCCACACATGTATATAAATGAGAGATCAAAGTTGTGTGAGTAACTTGATATGATTATGAGCAATAGTTTGTGCTCGAAACGTCATCAGTTCATATAACTGTAAACACTGTGCGATTTATCAAAATAAAATCTTATCTATAATGGAATTATTGAATAGACCTTTTTCTCTTCTGATTTGATTGTATTCTCCTAGCTGGATGGGTGGTTGAATTTCGCGGAGCTGTTCCCGTAAAATAAGCTTCATATATATATATATCCACATATACAAATTGGGTACAATATTTGTGCTGCTATATAAGTCTGGTATACAGAAAAACCTGTTCCGGTGAATTGACTTCAAATTTAACATTTGATGTAGACCAAGAGCATTAAATACAACAAAGTCTTCCACCTTCAAATTAGGTTAGGGTAACGCAACAATAACCTGCAGACAGGACCTGGTAAGGCCTGTACACGGTGGGTGGATAAACTTTGATCTTCCCCTCGAAATGGTCTCATGCAGTCAGGTATTTATAACATCTTCACGCGGCAGTATTCCTCACACAAAAGTGAAACGGCAGTTTGAAACGTCTGGCATTTACACAACCGGGCTAAACTACCGGACATGCAGGTTCACTTATGGGGGCCAGAAGAAGTCTAATTATTCCACATCTATGATGGTGTACATGGTCAGCAGAATTCAAAAGGGTAGAATGATGTGTGAACTTATTTCGGGCACAAGCACCACCACCCCCTTAGGAACATATTTCCTGACACTTCTCCACTGTTGTGCTGATCAAACTTTAAGTCAAAGCCTCAGAATGCGGCTGGCCTCTTAAAATTAACCACCTGCTCGGCTTTGGTATAAGGGTCCAAGTGTGGTAGGAGCAAGCTGCTAGCAACAATTGGTAGACAGCAATTTACGCCAATGTTTATGTCCCAAATATTGGTCGTGAGAAAAATATGAACAAAGACTGATTCAACAACCAACCACAGCAGATTCTGCGTAGGCGCATACCGTTAACATATAGATGATCTGACATTCAAGAAACAGTCACAAAGAGATGAAAGGTTAACTTTCTGTGAGAAACAACCAATCAGAGAACTGTGTTTGTTTTCTTACAATAATCTATAATAACGTTCATGAAAATATATAAATACGTGTTGATTTCGTAAATAAAGGATCTGTTGCCTGGCCCTTGTCTTCTGTTGTTACAACTGGTGTCGATGGCTCCGAAAAATAAAGATCCCATGGCCAACTGCGTTTGAAGAAGGAGACATACAGAGCTTCTTACGTGACTTCGAGGCCGTTGCTGAGATGGTGGGTATCAAGGAGCAGGCGACGAAGGCGGTTGTAATGGGGGCGCTGTTGAGAGGCCGAGTGAAGGCGGCATATGACAGCGTAGAGAGGTCAGATGGCACAGCGCCTTTTAAGACAATGGTTGAACGGTGCAACAGACAGACAGCTAGCAATGCAGCAGTTCCGTTCAACGTAGCTGGGACCTGATGGAGACCCTTTAGTGTTGGCAGTGGCATTGACGAATCTACTTCGACGTGAGCTTCCCACTTTGGATGTGGAATCAGAGGCGAAGTTACTGAGTCCCCAGTCCATCGAGAGTATCCCAGACCACATTTCTCAGCGATTACAACTGGTTAACGCTGTGCAGCCGATGGATATTAGTGAGCTGGCGAAGGTGACCAGTCAGCTGATGAGCACAACTGTAGCCGCTATAGAGCAACCGAAAACTAAACGAATACGAGCAGAAAATCGAAGCGTTGGAACGTGAAGCAGCCGCGCTGAGAATGAGCGTGCAAAGAGACCGATGTTTCGCATGTGGTAAACTGGCCCTTGTCTTCTGTTGTTACACAAGTAGTAAGTATCCTAACTGTAGCACAAACTATGAGATTTTGTGTGTGATGCATCTCTCTTGGTGACTATAATGTTCCAAAATTTGTGTTTTAATTAAATGATTAATAAATAAGAGTAACAATGATATCACCATAAGATGTAGCCACCCCCTCCATCGCACAAAAAACAAACAAACGCGGCAACTTACTTTCTCTTGTGGCATTGTTCTCATATCACTGTCATCTTTTCTAAACAAGGGGAGATAATGAGACAAAACAAGAAGGAATTTTGATATTTTTTTAAAAAACTAAGACTTGTAAAATAAAAAAAATATTAAATAAGATAAATCGGAGAGAAAACTGATCTGACTGCTCACAAACTTGATAGCTTCTTGACGGATAGCAAACAGCCAGTGAGTGGTCTAAGCTGAATAGTCTTGCCTTAAATTATAGAAAATCGAAACAAGTGGTGATTCAGCGAAGAGACTCTTCTCAACAACGAATTTGTCATCAAGCTGTACAATCGTATATATATATATACTTCAATTTGAAGTATGCGCTGAAGATGTCACCCAGTAGGGTGATGAAAGCTTCGCAAATTAACTATCCAGCTCAGAGAACACAACCATATCAAAGTATAATAGGCATAGATATACAGCAAAAAGAATATAGAAGATTGCAAAAAATGAATGCACCTGTGTTACTGGGAATCATATTGAGCCATTGGTTCTTAGTATCACAAAGACGCAACACTTCCCTACATGTCTCAAACAAACTATTTAGTACTATACGAAGTAATATCACGTTTTGATTTGGTAACCTTTAACTCGTCTCCGGCTTAACATTACTTGCCAAGAAAGGCAGTAGTTTAGAATGAGTGACACTTGTTTTAGCCGCCTCGAAAGACGCCGGTTTATAACCACATCGATTAACTCGCCATCCTTACATAACACTCTAGGTTTAACCTAAAAATTAATCACCACATTGTAACCTATCAACATGGATGATAGAACGTAAACGCTTTTAGTCAAAGACAACAAAGTCACTTTAAGTCTTCCAAATTACAACTGCCACATTACTCACAATCACATAAAGAAAGACACATAGAACCACTGCACACTATCTTTCTTAAATCATTAGCAGTAAAAACAGATTACAAAAGTTTGGAAAAAAATGGCAGTAACTTAGTTCTGGGTAAACACGTGATTCAAATTTTTGCGTTGATTAATTACTACTCATTAGAATAGTATAAATCTTCGCTGAATTTTATAAACAAAAAGATACCAGAATAAAAGTCGCCTGTTGTTATTACCATTATTATTATTATTAATCACAACAACGCAAAAGTCGATAAAATTTAACCAATCAGTTACAATACTACTATAAATAATATTAAGTAGTATACTGTCGATTTAACTGAAAAAAAAGAGAAAAGAATTTATGAGTGTAGTCAACCTTTCGCATCACGTGAAGTGCTTGCTAAATGAATTGATCATCTCAGAGGACAGACAAGCAACCAAAATCAATATTTTGCATTTTTTGTTACTTTCTTACAAAACTAGTAAGTAAGTAATTAAAGGAATCTACATAAGTGTTTTAGGCGCCGGTAGCATAGTGGTTAGGACGCTCGCCGTCCATGCACATGGTCCGGGGTTCGATCTGTTGCCGGCGCACTCCCAAACCTCGCTAAGCCAGTTATAAAGCTGGTTAAGAGGAAAGGTTGGGCTTGAGGCTTGCAACCCCATCCCATAAAAATAAAAACTGCTACAGAAACTTCAAGCCTCCAGCTTGAAGCCCTATGTTCCACTGGGAACGTGAAGGAATAAAAAAAAACATAAGTGTTTTACGGATTTGTTTTCTTAACTTTTAAGAGAAAGGGAGCAGCATATAAGAGAAGACTTTAGAGGCTGGACTTTTGAGCCTTGTGTGTAAAATGATCTTTACATAAAAGCAAGAAGATAGTTCTAGATTTGATTTTTAAGAGATGATGTCATTGATGCGTACTGGCGGAGCGAAACAGTACTGTAAAGTACTCTGCCTCCTCTCTATGGTGATTTTAATATTTTTCTCTGATTGTAATCACAGTTTGTGAGCCCTGAAAAAGCAAAACTTCTGAAAAAAACCATATACTCAGTAGTGGCTGATTGCAGAACGAAGTTCCCCGAGAAGGCGTGACCAGCGGGGTCCAATATATTTGAGGAATTGTCCACTGGATTTCATCCGAGTGACTGGATTGTCAACAAGGTCGCTTTGTAACGTAAAGGTCCTGGATTCCATCCCCAGTGGGTGGAATCACGGCTACATAAGGCTGAAGGGTCGCAAATCAGGACAAAACAGCTATCCACTATTCTCTTGTAGTGTGCAGAGGATCATGGTGATTCTCTTCAACTGTAGGCAGCCTAAAATATATACACACTACAAGATATATACACCGTAGATACGAACAGTGACCACCAACTACTGAAGTGGAATTTCAATAGGAATGCACTGATGTAGATGTAAAGTAGAACTCCTTACACCATCGGAAAACCACTTACCTACGAGTACTGGACAGACAGCTGTTTCGTTAGCCTAGAGTTTGGGACTGTTCTGCAGTGTACACCCATCTCCAGGATTCGAACCCACGACCTTCTGGTTACAAAGCTAGGGAACTGGTTAGTAGACCATTAAGCCACCTCACTGGGACTCGATCCAATGGCCAGCCAGCCCATGAATTCTAATTTCTGCCAATTCATGATATGACGCGGCCACTTCGCAATGTCTTCTTCGATGAGTTACTGCCTCACCTTCAACCTGCTGTCCCAACTGTGGTCACGGCTTCCCACTAGAACCCCAGGGTAACTGTCTGAATAGAGAGTGCCAGTCACTAGTGAGCATCAGATCATCCGAGTAGACATTGGGAAGTGGCCGTGCCATATCATGAATTGGCCGAAGTTAAAATTCGTGGGCTGGCCATTGAATAGGGTCCCGCTGGCTCAATGATCAAAGAGCTAGCTCGCCTTGTGACCACAAAATCATGGGTTCGAACTATGGTGGTGTGGGTGCGTACTGATGAAGAGTCCCAAACTAAGGGAACGAAACATCTGTCCAGTACTCCCTGGTGGTTCTCTAAATGATGTCACCTCGTGGTGAAATCCTCCAACCAGTGAATAATTCTGTTTTTAAGCGTGGTGAATAAGTCAGTGATAATTACGTAATCAGAGTTAATAAAATACAAATGATTAGAACTCAAAAAAAAGTAAAAAGAAAAAACTAATAAAAATTTGGTGTCTACAAAGTCGAATGAAAAGATGACGCTGACGATGATGATGATGATGATGACGTAAAAGGGTGAGTAGAATTCAAAGAGTCAAAGATTAAGTCTAATTATAAATTCAAATGAAAAATGTAGGAAGATACAAAGTGTGACGCAATGAAAAAATAAACAGTTACCCCCCACCCCCTCTGTTTTCGACAACCTAGACTATAAATTTTGATTGATTTTTTGGACTCCATGAATTGTACTCATTGTATTTTATTATCCACTGACTTATCACCACACTAACAATAAATTTATTGACTGATTAAAAATGCCCATTAAAATTTTTAAAATAATGGATACTGAACAAAGAGTACTCTTTTCGATAACCCCTTCATCATCATCAGGCTCTACAGTTATATATACATTATAGGGGATCAATGAATTAGTGCTACGAACAACAACAACATTAGTGTTGTTTAAATAACATCGAATCAATAATAATGTCAATGGATTACAGTTCATTAGCATCAACATAACAATACACACTGAATATCAGAAAAATTAGGAAAGGTAATAATACAAATTCATGAATTTATATTCTTTACTGAAAGCCGGACATATCAGTATTAGCGCCTGCCTGGCTGGACTTGCTCCTTTTGCACACAAAGCACTAGTTGTTTGACGCGAATTGCAATAGCCTCTGCTGTTTGGAGCATGTGGCACCTCAATGATTTTAGCAATTTATTTGGCACCCGGTAGATGCTGATAGAGAAGGATTCTTCCACACTGGCTGGCTGGCTGGCTTTGTGGCCTGTCGGTTTGCACCAGATGGTCCAATATCGAACTGTTAATCGTTTTCACTACACCTTTACTTTACTTAGCCATACTGTTTTGTATTTCTTTATTACTCCTTTGTCTCACACCTCTGCTCACTGTTTCTATTATGCTTTTGTTGTACTTTGTTCTCTTGCTTCGCGTGCTACACGGAATGTGGCGACTTGAACTGTCGCACATTTGTGCAAAGTTCTATGTCGAAAACAGACAGACAGACTTAGCCATACTGGGAGATGTTCCCCAACGAGCACGAAAAATCACGTTTCTAGAGCAACGGCTAATATAACTCGCTCCACAGGCGGCGCAGTTGAATTGCTAGACACAGTTAGAAGTGGTTAGTCTAGGTACTTCATCTTTCAGTCTAGGAATCACCACCATCGGTCCTGTAGAGAATAAAACGTCTAGTTCACCAGCATTAAAAGTTCTTCGAACTGATTTTCTTAATTTCCTCGTAATTATTTCACTTGGTATATCGCCTTTGAATTGCAGTCGTATATCAAGAGGCTTCCAAGTTTGACCAAAAATTCATACCAGTTAAAGTACTATTGAAAGCCAGAAAGGTGTACTGGACAGTTGCTTCGTATTAGCTTGGGGATCATCGGCAGTGTGTACCACCCAAGACCTTCCGATCACAAGGAAAGTGCTTCTAGACCATTCAGCCAATGGGGGCAAGGCTCACCCATAGTTTCTAACTTGTACCAATTCGTGATGCTAGCGCGACCATCAGCTAGTGCTATAGGCGAGTAGTATTTGCACTCACACCCAAGCTGGTGGCTCCACTAGTCACGACTTCTCACTAGAATTTCAGGAAACTTTGTCCCGTAGCCAGTCACTAGAGACCATTAGATTAATTTTCAAGAAATTTTCTTTTCCTTTAATGATAGGATCCCACATATTTTGGTATTGACTGTTTAATCTTGCATATATGGTATGTTATCATTCTCACACATTTTGGTATCTACTGTTAATCTTGTATATATGGCATATTATCATTCTCACGCATTTTGGTAGTGACTGTTAATCTTGTATATATGGTATATTATCATCTCTCACGCACTTTGTTATTGGCTATTAAGATCAATTATTTCAAATGCTGTTAGCTGTCCATATTGTTGTAAAATGTATAAATACCATGGCTTTCTTTATCGTTGTTGCACTTCAATACACAGTCACA